CAGAGCGGCTCTCCCGCCGCCACGCTAGTGACTCTGTTTCTTAAAAAAATTTTTCAGCAAAAAACTCACCGAGAAATTAATTATTAAACAGGAATAAACACTGCTAATTAGTTCTGTTTTTCCTGAGTAATTTAGGGCACATGGTTCCTGTCCTCATTACTCTGGGTACCGATAATTATATAAATGCCTGATGTCTGAAAAAACTGCTCCCAATTTACAGTATGACGTTGCCTCAAAGACACAAACGCAGACGCTGTACAGCGACTATAAAGTTACTTTCCCTTCCGCTATGTTTTAGTGAAAGTCCACTCGCCCCCCTGCTCCAGCTAACTACTCGGCCGTCACGCCAGCCTGAGGCCCCCACCGCACCCGCAGCCCTTTCTCTTCCCCGCCACCTCGCAGGTTTCCAACGCGACTTCCACACCGCGCGTCCCTGGCTACCGCCGCTCACCCCACGCTCCTTAGACCCGACATACCGCAGGGCAACAGGCTGCTAAGGAACCGAGTCCACCCACGGCTGGGAAAAAGCCTCGATGGCGGGGCGGGGGTGTCCAAAGCTCTGCTTTAAATCATCTTCGTCTAACGAGCATTGCGGTGAAATCAAAAAGCACGGTCCCGAAGCTGGCTGAACAAAGCCAGAGTCCTCTCCAGCCGTCCTCGCGCCCTACCAGACAGCTGCCCTGGTACGAAAGCCTCGCTTACAAAAGGGCGTGAAGTATTTATTGTAATTTCTTTCTAGATGGTTTCTCCACATAGCTGTATTAACATATACTAACACAGTTATCTTATATACAGTGTTTAATCAAGTTATAAAAGTGACATTCTTTCAAAAGGTGCAAAGTTATTAATGTTCTGACACGTAAACTACTGAGGCGACATCTGCATCGAAAATAAAACTTTTTCACTTTCAGAGCAATCGAAATGCGGCATTAGGAGTCCTGTGGCTAGCCAAGCAGAGACGTGTCGGCAGTCAGGGGGAAGTATTTTGTAAGTGTTGTCAGTGAAGAACAATAAATGAAAAAAACCCAGATTTGGAACCAATATGAAATTTTACTAAAAACTTTACGCTAAAGGAAGGGGAGAAGGGGGTAAAGACATAACTAATGAAGTGTTCTTACTTTAGAAATCTTCCCAGTTTCTTTTTAAATCCCGTGAAGATTCTATACTGCAGTTTGGGTTAAACACGTTGTTTCATTTTTTTCATGCCTTCACATAATGAAAAGGGTCTAAGTCTTTGAATTTAAATCATAACTTAGACGAGAGGGATGCTAACCTGTACACTTCTTCTTATAAACAGAATATTTCTTTAGCAATTACTCTACAGTTTCTCCATTCAGGCAATTTCTATTTATATGTATTGTTTTAAAAACACTACTGCAGCATTAAACATACTATTTAGTTTAAGCAAGTTTTAAACTCCCATGAGATGTTAAACTGGCTTAATACGTGAATCCTGTCAATCCCCACCTAACAAAGGGTTCCCTATGCTGCTTGCAGCGAGTTTGGAAAGGGGGTTACAGTGCCTGGCATGGTCATTAAAGTTCAATTTTTTATAAAAAGTATTTTTATGCTGTCCCATATGGATCAGCAATGTCTCTTTAAAAGCCAATTGTCTACGCACTTACTAGGAACGAATACAACCCTACTGCCTGCGCCGTACCACCAAGTCTAGCTCGTGAGTCCTAAAGACTCGCAATCAGCACAAAGTACGATTTCTGGCAACAGAATAAAGTCGCCACGAGCACGTTTCAGACGAGGCCCTTACTTATTGCCTTGAAGTTTTACTTTACTTCAAAAATAAGCTTCTCTTATTTTTCCAAATGAAGACAACAACTAAAACTCCCAAAAATTTAAAGCTAATCCAATCATTAGATGCGCGATTTGATACAAAATGTTTCTCCGTGAGTATGTTAATTCTCTTTTGCTTTTTAATCCTGTAGCTGGGAGAGAAGCACTTGAAAAATCTACTCTCTGGATGAAACCACAGATGCGTTTGGACATCAATCAGACCAGCTCTTCCACAAATTCCTCAAGCTGCTGGTGCTTAACACCAGCAATTTCTGAATTACTCTAAACTTAACAGCAGCGTAGCCGCTCTCCATTTTTGCCTGGTTACTCAATTAAAAACTTTCATAAAAGAAGCAGCAACATTAGGATTAGTTTTAAATACTGGACCTAATTTTTCAAGCCTCTCTCCCCCCTACCCCCCGAAGCGTACCACTTGAAAGAAAATGAATGCGTCAATTCAGTAATCGATTATTTCCAGTATTATATGGCTTCAATGGTTCGATATGGAACAAAAAAAATCCCACTTTTTGACAGCACGTGCTCACAGAAAACTCGTAATAGGTGTAACTCTGCCAAAGCTTTAAATTGGTTCTGCTTTTTCACAACATACAAAACAGACATGACCTAATAATGAAAAACATGCAAACCAAAACTCCCCCCAAATATGAGCCTGTGTGGATATACATACCAAAGTGCTTCCAAATAAAAGTTCAGTCTAGAAGCATACATAGTGCCAAAGCTGCCAAAGGTAGTGCAGAAGATTTAAGCCTCCAAGTGGTAGCAAGCAATATATTTTACATTGTAACCACCTCTACATTCCTACAATTGCTTCCGAAGCTTCTCGTATTTTAAGAACAGCATTTGACTTCAGAAAAAGCACACTTTTTAACGCACCCTTCCCTTCTCCTAATGTATGCTTTATGTAATTTTATCACAGGTACACAGTTTAATGCTCACAGTGTCCAAAAGTTGTGAAGACTCTGTAACAGACAACTACAGTTTGAGCAGCTCAGGTTGTTTTTTGTTTCCCCAAGTCTCTGAATTATTGAATCGTTTTGAGAGAGGGGGGCCAGGAGCTCCAGTCCCCACATAGTGCTACATACCGTATGAAGTTCACATGCATCTCTTCACGAGGAGTATCGACAGTACTAGATTTGATCCTGTTGGTACCATGCTAGCTTTTCATCCCTGCTCTGAGTTCCAAAAACTTCAGGTTCTTCACTATTGTACTAAGTAACAAGGATATTATCTCTATTTTATTTAAGTTACGTAGTTTTCAAGGATGTTATGTGCTCTACCGGATACAGCGTATCTTCCTGACAAAGAAACTAGGGAAAAAAATGAAGAACCAAAGGTCCCTTTGAAAATTAGTGAAAACATGACGATTTCAGGTGCAGCTTTACGGAAAGAATGCAACGGTATTTAAATATTTGGCAATCCAACGTTAGTGGTAATTAAATCCTCGATTGTTGACTGATAGATTTTTTTTTTTTGTTAAAATTTACTTAGAAAAGCTGGTTTTTGCTATCAACAAAACCAGAGTAACTGGCTTGGAATGAAATCTAGTAACTAGATGTCCAGATGAGATGAGCAATTGGCTCCGTAATTTCAGTATATGTCTGGACAGTCTGAGAAATTTCTGTCAAAATAGCCACCTGAGTACAGCCAATCTGAAGTCCCAGTGTATGGGTTAGTGCCTTGATGAAACCACCTGTAAAAAAAAAAATAAAAAGAGAAAGAAACAATAAAAGAAAAGCAAACAGAGTGAATGGTTATTAACAGGGGAAAAGAACAACTTTGCTTCTTTCGCAAAACATTGTAAAAAGACACTGGTAGTTCTTATCAGAAAAGAAATTCTCAGGAAGTATTCTGAACATGAAAAATAAGGCATTAAGCTTCATACACAATTATCACCACACCTTATAAAGCATCCTTTTTTAATTTTTTTTTTTTTTTACATAAAGTCAAGGAGTGTGAAATGGATTTTAAAACTGTGTCCCGTTCCAAATAAAAATCACATTGATACTCTAGGTTATATATTGATCATATGTATTAATTTTTACTTTCAAAGAATGCCAAATCAGTTACACAACCCTTTTTGTAAACCTGTCCAAACAGGAAACAAGTATTTTTCTGCGGAGCTGTACTTTGCACAGAACATTAACATGCTCACTTTTTAGCCATCCTGACTGAAAACAATTTTGTTCTCTGGAAGAGATTTTTTAAAGGCATTAACTGGAGTTAGTCTGCAGCTGCTCCTCCAGGCTTTGGGAAGAGAAGGCTTTCTCTTCTGAATTTCATGAAATCATGGGAGCATCCCAAAGTTCTTGCCTTTGAAGGAAGCACCTGCAGTAACTGGCCGTGAGCGTACACTTGACCGCATGGCATTGGCATCGGTGAAAAGCAGCCAGCGGGAGCAGGAGGCAAATCACACATTACTCCATGATGCATTCTGTGACTGAGAAGTCATTTGAATATGCAATCAAAAAAGCAATTTCTGAAGTATCCAAGCCAAGAAGTCCTAAGAGTGTGAAAATAAAAGGCCCTAGAGGGCCGCAACGTCTTACTCAACTGCCAAAAGCTGGACAGGAATTGGTTAAAGGAGAGATGAGACTTAACATTTTATTCATTCTAACAAAAATATGACCACCGTAGGCTTTAAAAAACAAAACCAAAAAAATCCAGCATTACCACAGTAGTTAATTATGACAGGTTTCAGCACTTCTTATTAGATAATTTCTCCAGGACAAAGTTATCAGCAATTTTGGCTTCCAGCTACATGATTTAATTGTTGACCCAGCAAATGCTTTAAGTGACACTACAAATTGTGCTGTCATGCAGGAAATCAAACACACGCTGTCTTGAATAAAAACATTTCAAGCAGTATACCAAACCATTCCAAGCATTAAACAAATGCCCAGCTTCCTTCCCCCTTACCGTGTGTGCCACTCCACTTCATCTTTTGCACGCTCCTTGCGAGCAGCTCTTTGTTTCTCTTCTAGTCTCTCTTTTTCTTTGCTAGCCACATCTAACAAACATTTCAAGAGAAATTGGTTACTTAGCAAAATAGAAACAAAAATGCAGAGAACACAGAAAAGACTGCAGAGAAATGAAATACAGTTCATTTAAGCAAGAGAAAGCATTTGCTGTACGCAGTCTCACTGAACAATGAAAATCTCAGGCAACAAAAAACTAAAACTGTCATTTCAGAACAGTTGCTACTACAAACACAGACTCGAAGCTGAAATTTTGGTGTTTTATCTATCAGAAACACTGCACCGAGACAGCAGGAAAGAACTTAGATTAGGCGTAATAGAGTGATTTTTTCACTGTTTGGCCATGTGTTTTTTCTGACAAATGCCAGAGCGACAGAGCATGTCTGTTCACCACATGTCTTTCCAGACAAACTCCAGAGCAAGAGAGCATGTCTGCCAGTTCCCCCCCCCGCCCAAGTTAACAAACATGCAAATACACCATAACATAGGATAGCAGTCTCGGGATCCACCTTGGACACATTTGCTCGCCCAGACTTTTCTGGGAGAAGACAGACATCGTACATTGTCCAAAAGGATGTTCATTAACGCAGGATGAAAAAGAGTTAAGGCTGCTCTGGGAATGAGAAACTGAAGACAGTGTTCCTGGATCAACCAACCTCCCTTCAGTCATCCCTCTCAAAACTACTAACATGAACATACTCCCTCCAGCAAACACATACCCATGTTTCCGTTTTCCATATTTCTGATATCTGGACGTAGCCGACAGTCAGTGGGAGCTAATATTGCTTCCATGCCCTTTTCTAGCTCATTGAGACTCACAGCAAAACTGGTGAAATTGTACATCTTAAAAGCAAATTAAAGATAACACACAAGTTATT